TTATTTTGCCAGGTGTATCTTCAGTTTACATCATGGAAAATAATATCTTAACCACTGAAATGATATTCTCGGTCAATAACTCAGCACAATCATTGTAATGCCACTTAAATGATATCTCGGTCAATAACTCAGCACAATCATTGTAATGCCATTTAAATGATATCTCAGTCAATAACTCAGCACAATCATTGTAATGCCACTTAAATGATATCTCGGTCAATAACTCAGCACAATCATTGTAATGCCACTTAAATGATATCTCGGTCAATAACTCAGCACAATCATTGTAATGCCACTTAAATGATATCTCGGTCAATAACTCAGCACAATCATTGTAATGCCACTTAAATGATATTCTCGGTCAATAACTCAGCACAATCATTGTAATGCCACTTAAATGATATCTCGGTCAATAACTCAGCACAATCATTGTAATGCCACTTAAATGATATCTCAGTCAATAACTATGCACAATCATTGTAATGCCACTTAAATGATATCTCGGTCAATAACTCAGCACAATCATTGTAATGCCACTTAAATGATATCTCGGTCAATAACTCAGCACAATCATTGTAATGCCACTTAAATGATATCTCGGTCAATAACTCAGCACAATCAGTGTAATGCTACTAAAATGATATAGAGTAGAACCACCGACGTTCCGTAAGCTAGCTGGATAGCTTCCTCACATGAAAGAATCTAAAGTCTCTGTCGGGATTCAAACCAACAGCCATGAGGGGCAAGTGGTTTGAGGTCAACGACCTTAAATGTATTATAGCAAATACTGTAGGGGAATACTATCATAATGCCATTTAAACCATTTTAGTTAATATTGGGAAACAATCATTATTTAACATTAAACAAATTAATGACATTTTACTAACAGTGTATAGAGAAAAAAGACATACGAGTCTTGTCACAAGTAATATGGTTGATGATAAGGAACAAATATTAAAAGTTTATCCCTTATGAAATGAAGAAGTTGGAGTAAGAAAGAAAAATCATTTTTAAGTAAAATTCAAAGTTCAAGTGGAAGATAATTCCGAAAATTTATAAACCTTGTCACACATGATTTGGTTGATGAAAAGGAACATATATCTGAAATTGAATATGATACCTTAAGAAATAAAATGTTATAGTGAAAAATATTTTACTGCACAAAAACTTTAATTAGGGATCTAGACAGGGTGACCGTGAGTAGGACAGCTTTCTATATTACTGCAAATAGTTGAGCTAAAAACCATCATTATTACAATGCAGATGTTACAATATCTTAGTTAATAAGAGGAAACATAACTTTAATGCCATTGATAATATCTTAGCAAATAAGAGTGAAGAATTCATAACTTCAATGCCATTTCGAATATCTTAGCAAATAAGAGTGAAGAATCATAACTTCAATGCCATTGATAATATCTTAGCAAATTAGAGTGAAGAATCATAACTTCAATGCCATTGATAATATCTTAGCAAATAAGAGTGAAAATCATAACTTCAATGCCATTGATAATTATTTTGCAAACAAGAGTGAAGAATCATAACTTTAATGCCATTAAGAATATTTTAGCAAAAAATTACGTTTTCAGTGTCATTAATAATCTCTTGGAACAAGATGGGAAACAATCATTACCACAATGTAACTTTAAAGGAATAGGAATGGATGGATTGATGTCTGTCTAATATAAATATTCATCATTTAAAAAGAGGAACCATTACAGTTTTCCTATTGACATCAACCCTATAAGAGAGAAATTCGTGTTTTAAGACACTATTTTTTACTTGAGAAATAAGTTCATGGGCGCCGCCATTTTGGCGTTCTGTCATTCTCGCGAGACAGACGAGACCGAGATTGTGACGTGTAATACCCACTTCCGGTATAGGTGTACACGCTGGTACAACTGAAATATATCTTGATGAAGAACTTATTCATTTTATTGCGTACATTATATATTATTTATGAAAACATCATATAGAACTGAATTGCTTTAATTAATTAATTGAAGACGCCGCGACATTAATTATCATTTGTCCGATATTCAAGCTTGCTGATGATCCCACCACATGATTTAAGCAATGACTGCTTAATTTTCAAAGATAAACCATAAATTTAATTTGGGTACTATGAGAAACTTCTTCAAATTGACGATATATCCTTTTATTTTGTACTTAATTTTCGCTAGACAAGCTGTCCAAATAGGGTACATCGCCGGTCATGTATCTTTTTTTTTCAGGTAAAATATCAACTAAATCCAATATGCTGAGGACGCGATTTTCAGCTTGACGCTAAAATGAGAAAGGCGCAGGAAAATCGGCAGCCACACTAATATCGTATGAAAACAAAACTTTCCGTTAGGTTATTTAGGCACCCAGTCAAAACTGGTACCAACAGCAACAGGTTGCCCATTCCCCTATAATTACGCATATTCTCGGGTTTATCCAGTTCCCTAAAGCTTTTTAACACGTTATCTACTTACCAAATTCCTTTCCCCGACAGATACGCATTTCTACTACCGTAAATTTAATCAAATAAAACAAAAAATCATAAATCTACTTAATATTTAAAATGATTATTGGTAACTGAAAAAAATGTGTTGCTATTTTATGACGTGCTGTATTTAACTACAATATAATTTGACAGGTGTGGAACCTAATTCCCCCTAAGGTCATTCAGTTCATTGATGAAGCGTAAAAGAATAGATGTCTATTTCGTCATTAGAATATTTGACAAGGGTGATTAACCAATCAGGGAAACATTGTGCATGATCAAAAGGTCTGTCGGCACAGAGGCATACAAGGAGCAATAAAAATCGTCAGTACACAGTGTGACAGGAGCATTTGGTGCAAATTAGGAACAATTAAAATGGACAATGCGCAGTATTAGACATAAGTAAAGAACCAGCAATTGTGTGAATAAATTATGCAAATTAGATTTTTGAGCAGCCAATAAAAATGATTTGCCTGCAGTTATTATAAGGCTACGATTACGATGCGCAGCATCATACGTTGACAGACATGTTAACAATTTACTTTTCAAAAGAGTTGCTTATATTTTTGAAATGTGTACATCAATTATAACATATGTTCACACCTTTAAATTTGAAAGTCTGAATCAAACTGCAAAAATTTAATTATATGTACTATTAAGAACACGTAGGGTTAGTAGGGTTTTTATAATGGAAGTGGCTAGCGTACGGGCCCGTACGGCTAGCCAAAAGTTTTAGCCGTACGTGAGTCACGTACGACTAGCAAGGACTCGCTGTATTGGCTAGCCGTGCGGCACTTTTAAAAAATTTATGGAAGTCGAAAATGCATAATTATGTTATTTTATGACTTTAAGCGAGGATTTTAACCAAGAAACAGCATTAATTGTCTTTGGATGTTAACTTTTTAGAGATTAATCGCCTTGATCGCTATATATATCAATTTTTGTCATCGCAAGATGTCGAGAAAAAATAGCCTTTGCTTGCATTTACACCAATTGAAATAGTTTACAAAATTTTGATAATAATCCTTTTTTGTTTCATTAAGTTTAATTTTCGACACCTTTTATATGAAAAAAAACAACAAACACTGAAAATGATTGCTGTTAGGCTCTTGATAATTGCGACAATTACCGACGGTACTATATAGAAGTTTGTCCATCAAGGAAAGTTTGCATGTTCCGTGAAAGGCATTCTAAAATTCTATTGTCAGTCCCTGGATAGGTTTTAATTAAGGCTAATTAATTGATTGCGATATTTATCTACTGTTTTGAAAATTATATAATTATTTTTGCATTTCACCGTTTTTTTTCATTCAATGTTCTTTTTATTTATTTATTCCACTCCAATCATTTTTTATTCGATCCAAGTGCTTAAAATTAACAAAAATGATTTAATAATTCATACAAGTAAAACAACAAATGATAAGCATGAAAATCAACAATTTTATAACGTTCGACTTCCATATAATTTTGAAATGTGCCGTACGGCTAGACAATACAGTGCGTCCTGGTTAGTCGTTCGTGACTCACGTACGGCTAGAACTTTTGGCTAGCCGTACGTTTCTTTATTTTTTATTAATTTTTTTTTGATATTGTTACGTATTTTGAACCATAAAAACATATCCTCTACACCTCCTGTGAAAATTAAATTGTCTGGTCAATACTTTATTATATTAATATTTCCTTACGATTCAACTAGATTTATCATGAATGATAGAATCTAAAGATGTGGGGAAATGACATCACGCGCACCTGTTTTTATACGGCCAATACACAAACATGGCCGCGCTTACTGATTTGTAGAAATCGGTGATTTAAGGATTTAAATTTTGTTATCATTCGTTTAATATTATTATTTGGCGGCAGAAAATTTGCAGACTTATTATTTATAGTATTCTTTTTCTGAAATCAAGTTTTTATTCTATCCTTGTCTTTCCCTTTAATATAGTGACAAAATAATTAGGATAATTATCTGTGATATTGCACTGGGAAAAATGTGTTCAGTTTATAAACTGTGACTATTTTATGTAACATATGTGTAATGTACACTGAAAAGTTCACAAGAAAGGGTGACAAATGGTAAGACCGAACCTAGTATTTAAGTGTCAAATTTTGTTTGAAAGTTGGTTACTATCACAACTTCTCCATATCACGGTTACATGATGTATATACTATCATCATAATTGCATGTATATACTATCAAATAAATTCACACAAATACTGTATTTAGTGTACATTTTGTGTTTTTAAGTCACACCAACAATGTTGAGGTAAATATGGCAAATTTTCATTGTAATTGGCTCTCTTTCCTGATGCCAAGAACTGGCAAATGATAGAGTCCTATCTACATGTACCTTAATGTTAGTAAACTTAATAAATTCCTTACATTTAATAATTCTGAATCAATGCGCGGGGTATGTGTTTGAGTGGGGGGATCTTAAGTTCTGAACCTTTATCAATGAGGAACTAAGTAAACCACACTACACCTTTAATTATTTGAATAAATAATAAACTATCGAACTGCAAATTTTTAATGAAATATATTATTATATCTATAGATTCAAACACAGATTTCTTCCAAAAGTCATGTAGTTAAAGTGTTCGTAAAATAAATGCCATTCAAAACCAAGCAGCTCAGAGACCGAATTTTCCAGTAACGCCTCACTTTTACAGTTGTTCGTTAACCATTGCCTAAAGTCATCATCCCAATCTTCTTGTATTTCCCAATCAAATTCATATGACACCTCTACGGCTGGAATAATCAGTTCACGCAATTTTCTCGCCTTTGCAATCAACAGTACACTGGTGCTAGAAAGTGGAAATCCATATTTCAATGTGTGAAGGTGCTTACACTTCTTTACCATGGTAACAAGAGCAGCTGGTAACCGACTGTCGCCACTCTCGAAATTTTCTAAATATAGATTTGTGTAGGTGAAGCTTTCTAGAGATTCGCTGTAATGTGTAACCAAATGATCGATGACACCTTTCGTCACTATATTTACTAAATCATCGAGGACTAGGGAGCGGAGTGGCATGTTGGTAATGAACGAGTCTTTAATGACTAGAATGTACTGCAAGATGAGATCAACTTTGAAATTTGAATTTATCTTTAGAACATCATTCCAAAATTTTTCTCCGAGCTGTTGTGCATCCACTAGAGGCAGTTCCTCGTCTTGATACAGAGTGATTTCTTGAAGGCCATTCTTGACTAGACCTAGCAGAATTTCATTATTAACTTTTTCTCTACGCACCATTAACTTTTTAACACCAGTAAATTCCCGTAGTAGCTTTAAGTATCCTTCGTGATCAAGCAGCGACCCAGAAAATAGTTCAAGTTCTGTGATTTTGTGCGCAACATTTGCACAGCATAGTCCTAGTAATAAATTAGTTTCCGCTGCATGTGACCAAGATATTATTGGGGAAATAATACCGACTTCGTTCAGATGTTTACAATTACTTAATATAGAACATGTCGCTAGAACATGTGACTTTGTAAGAGTAGTTTCTGGTAGAGTGTGAGGTACTGGACTTTCATGTGGTGCGAAACGAAAACTGAGTAGATTTGGACAAAAGTTAGCAATAGCGTTTAATATCTGTAAACCTGATCTACCAGTATTATACCCAAATGCTAAGTCTATATGTCTTATATATTTGCCATAGATTTTTAGACATATTAATAGATGAGCTCTCTTTTCTTTGACAAAGTAAACATTTTCTTCACCCTCGCTTCCATGCTGTACTAGAGGCCAAGCAGCTGAAGTATGTAGATGAGATTTCCAAGATGGAAGTGCTTGGGTTGCATTTAATTTCTCATTCCAAGACAGGTAGCTGAGTATTTTGGTTACAACAATAGCAGGGGCTTCTTCAACACAGTTTGCCATTCTACTGCATGTGCCAACAACTTCTGTTCATTTGGCATATTATATCCTTACACTGTTCATATCTGAAATTAGATAATAAAGATTGTTTAGATTTAATAGTGTAAATACTAAATACAAGTCCCTAAATTTTAGATTTAATACTTAATATACAAGTTTTTAAACACTAGTAAATTTAATGCCCTCAGATTATCTATGACTTAGTATGAGATTGCACAGAAATAATAATATTCAAAGCTAAAGAAAATAGTTCATTCATTTTAACCATTCATTTTTTACAGTGCCTAAAGTATTGGATTCCATAAGCACTCCTCTAAAAAGGCCTGAAGTTGGAAGAAAATGTGTGTAGCATTTTATGAAATTATAGAAATATTTAAAAGTTTAAAAAAAACACCTCACACACAGCTTTAAAAAAAGTTTTGTTCATGAATGTGCACTGTGCATGATAATATATATTACATGAAACAAGTCAAAGCAGTTAATTTTCTTCAGCAAATGGGACAGTTTGATTTTTGGGCAGCTGTTGGGAATATTCTATTTTTTTGTAAATTGGGGAAAAAAGTGTTTGTTTTTTTTATTTGGAGGGGGCCTTTAACTTGACCAGTGGAAAGTAGTTAAATTATTTTCATGTGCCATTGCTAGATTCTGAGACATTTTTGTTCTGGGTCAGAATATTGCTTCTAGAGGCACAATACCTCAACAGCTCAATGTGTAGGCCTAGTACAAATTAATACTACTATTAGTTGCACCAACTGGAAAGATCATGGGGAGAAAATGCCCTTATATAGTAGGCTCATACAGTACTTATAGTATAACTGTATGAAATATAGATATGGGCAGTGATTTTCCTGCTTATATAACAGACTCTGATTAAAAGCCTCTTCCCAATTGAAATTTTCTGTAAAATCATGCAGATTTCCCAAAAATCAAAAGTTAAACCTGTTTTCTTACTTCCCAAATTATCAATTTTAACAATAATTTCCCAAAAATCAAGAGGCTAGCGCCTTTTCCCAATTAAGTGAGAAAAGGCAGAGATGGGGACCACCCCAGAGACTGTCAAAGTTAATGCAGGCATTACTTGAATCTCGATAAGTAATTAAGATAGATCTATACTATCACATTTATTGACATTATGTATGAAAATAATTCAGTTCCAATAAAAATCCATTTAAGAAATCAGAATACTGAATTTCTATTGACAGTTTTTGGACATCAAATAGATATTTACTTTTTTTTTCAAAGTTGGCATCTATGTATAGATGTATGTATCTACTAAACTTATCAAAGTTCCTTTTAAAAATAACAGATGCTTCTTTTTGAGGCAATACCATTTCCTTATAAATCTAATAACATATGTTCAATTTGATTTTTCCCTTGAAAGTTACTGATTTAAAACTTACATGTTAAATGCAGATCTATTCGCTATTGTTTTATAATGTGGGGTGAATTATCCATGGGGCGAATCGTTCTAAACAAAAATTATCTTTTATCACACTGTATTACACATACCTATTCATAAATTATTAGTAATCTGTAATGGGATACTGATAACTACCTGATATTAAATTATAGTGATTTTACAGGGTAATTGGCTATGATACCAAATTTTGTCAGATTGATGCATTTTTAATACATTTTGTTCTTCGAGGTATCCTTCCGTGAGTCATAACGTTGTACAGAATATATTCCATTGAAAAACAAAGCATTTAGTAGTGTTTAACCTTAAGATTGTTACAAGTCCTAATATTTTTTATTCTTTATTATAGCATCATTGATGCTATTACAAGTCGCTTGTAATTATTTCGAGAATGGCTATATACAATTTCAATGTTTTATATGTATATAGTCCTATGTTGGTTACAGTACCATTGGTAGGTTTACTTATCATTAAAATACCAATGCCGGGTCTTTCAAATGGAAAATACTCTGACCAATCGTACATTCAAATGTTTACGGACAAGTCCTTTGGAAGTGTTGGTTAATATCTGGAAAAATGTGATCCTTTGGAAGCATTAAAAACAGCAAAATTGCATGAATTAAAATTGCAGACACTGTTTGATTGAGTCTGTACATGATGGATAATGAAAAAGTGCAACATCCCTCACGCCCCCTATCACCGGCTTGAGTGGTACTCATTTCTCAATACTTAAAATGTGCTGGATGATCCCAAAGAACCAGAAAAATATAACAACACTGAAGTGAAGAACGGGGCAACTTATAACTTCTGCCACACAGCACTTGACACATGCTATTGTAATGTATAAATATCTGGAAAAAATGATATCCTGAGAGCGGCGGCACGAAATACCCAAATATACCCAAATACACCCAAATTTACCCAAATATAGCAATATTTGTATTTGTTTGTATAAAATATAGATTATGATGAGAAATAAATAAATATTTATTAAATAATATTACTTAGCCTGCTATCGATCACTTTCATTCATTCCGTTGAAATAGGCAGTTAAGATGCGCCGTTAAGATGTTGTAAGAAATTTAATAAGGACCCCTACGTAAGGTCTGATGAATATTCAGAGGTACAGCATATAAATAAATGTTTTAAATACACCTAAGACTGAGGTAAATGGTATAACTCTGTAGCAAATACTTAATAAAAAAATTCAACTTGCTTGGAAAACAATTTATCACTTTTTTAAAGAAGTGGCTATTTTGATATAATTAAAGTCGGACAATTTACATTGTTTCATTTAAAACAAACAGTTTCTTATTGTTTTTCTGATTACATCCGACAATCAAGTATGGCATTTCTGCAGGAGTTGAAATTATACAAATTTATTGGGATAAAAAGGAAATTACAGTAAAACTGAACCAATTAAACGAGAGATAAAATTTATGATCAAGATCATCCGGGTAGTCCTTCACCTGTGTACTATTGGTTCACCTTTGGTACCATTGTTGATTATATTGCCAATGGCACAAAATTAAGAAATAATATATCCCAAACAGTGATTTTATCGCTCAATTACATCACTGTTTGGAGTTCGGATGCGAGGAATTATATCACGAGGGCGTAGCCCGGGTGATATAATGATGTGCATCCGAACGACAAACAGTGATGTTATCAAGCGATAAAATCACTGATTTGGATATATTATTTCGATTCTAACACGACATCAACAAATAAATGTTGCCGTACTTGATAGTTAAGCAAAATTGCGCCTGATTTGTCTCCGTACTTATTTTCAGCGCGTCGGATTTTTAGTGGTTACGTCACGTGTATAATGATTACGTCACATGTCTAAATATAGAACGTCAAACTGTGCATCTGTTGCATAATAACACACACTTTCTGTTCTTCTGTGTTCAATAGGGAAAATTGCGGGTCGTGTTAGGATGTATGATAAAATCCGTTCAGATTAAATTGTCACTATTTCAATATATCGAGTAAAAGCCCGCCTTTATAGATATAAATATAAACAGTTTATTATCTATATACTTATTATTATGGTTATAACAAAATGTCTACTGATTGACTATATTCAGATTTCTACATCAGTGGGCATTTTTATTGATTATGATTGTGAGACGTATTTCCAATCAAATCCTACCGAAATAGACTTTATTTTCCTGTGGGTGTCCAAAAATACATTCGTAACACATTATCAAAGATTATACCAGTTAAAAGAATTTTAAAAAGACCCCCCAAAAAGCAAAATAAAAAAAACAAACAAACAAAAAAAAAACAGAGTGCGATAAAAGAAATGTTGTAGTTAATCGATGCCAACATGATGGAGAAGATATTAGGCCGGGAGTCCCAGCTAGATTAAATATGACCTGAGAGGCTATTCCAGTAGCAGGAGATATGGTATTAGGTATGAGACTAGGGTACATGTATGAGAAAATTTAAGTTCCTAGAGAAAACCAATTGATTAATTATGGTCCACAAAGACTAGCTGATGTTGAATTTTGTATAAAAACTATACTGTAAGTCAATTAGGAACTTTTGTTTTATATACAGTTTTCGACTGTACGCCTACATGTAACATAATGGTGATGCCACTGGTAAAATTATAGTTATTACACAGATATCTGACACAGCTCCCTGCACTTTCCACTAAACAGGCAAGGTGATAATTGAATAATTGATAAGCGTTCATTGAACGCCGCCTTTCCTTGTTGATCATGTATTATCTACTTGTGTTATTATGCAACCTCTTTAACCTTTTTATTTAATGTTTTTATGTTTCTTTAAAAAAAGGCTTCGGATGTTACATTATCTATATGCTGGCCATTGCTGGGTGTAATTTAAATCTTTTGAAATGGTGACACCAAGGTATTTTGAAATATATGATGTTTTTGATTGTACATTATGTAAGGGATGGGGGAACATTTCAGGATTATTTATCACATTTATCGATGTTAAATTCCATGGTCCAACCCTGTCCAAACTTGGGCCCATTTTGTAAAATGTAGAATCTGACTGAGAAGTATCTGTATCTGTACGTAGAAAGACCACTTCTAGTATATTTTTACGGGGAGGAGGCTCAGAAGTGATCTGGGGGGAGGGACTGATATTTGGAATACTGTCTGGTCCACTGGCCTTAGATATATTGATGTTCGATAACTATTTCATGACGCCGTTCGAGTTAATGTTGAGATGTGGAACGACAGGATAAGGTTGTGTATCTTAAAGTTTATGAAACGATGTATCATTATTCTTTAGTAAATACTGATTTAAATTGATTTAATAAGACTTCTGTCTCTTCTTTCGCGTCCGATAGTAGATTACTTTTCTTTTTTTACAGGTGCTACTCCACTGTTATCTTATTTTTTCGATATAATTCCAGAATGGTTTAGAGTTATGTTTTTTCAATGCCTTCCAGAATTAGAGTTATGTTTTTCCATGCCGTCCTGAACGACTTTGTTTACATGATCCGATTTGGCTCTACGTATTTCTCTTTTACTTTCTTTTTGGTTTTGTTAAAAACGACTCCATATGAACTCGTTTTCTTTGCTTGTTTGTAAAGACGTTTTTTTCCAAAGATTTCTTAATATTTCTGTTCACCCATGGTAAATTCTTTTTATATTTGTAAATCTTATATTGAACGTGTTTTTCAACACTTTTTAATACCTTTTTTGAGGTTGACCATAGTTCTTCGATGTTGGTGTTACCATTTACTTTATTATCTATACTGTTAGAAATACATTTACAATTTTCATTGATGGTGTCCCAGTTTGCTTTATTAAATTTATAAACTTTCATAGGTTTGGTTTTTATAATATGCGGTTTGATGTCTGAGTCAATCAACCATATCATGGTCTGAGATACCCGGTACATTAGTTGAAGATTTTATTAAAGACGGATTAGTTGTAAAAGCTAGATCAAGTAAATTTCCTTGACGCGTTGGTTCTGGATGTACTACTGTCAAGTTATGTTCACTCATAATATCAATAAAATTTTGTTGATAGTTCTGTCATGAATGTCCCCGTTAAAGTACGTGGAGTTCCTTTCATCAATATGTGATTTACATTTTAGCGGCGTTCAACCTTATTGCGACGCCTTCATTTTGCTCGATTGTAGAATCCTTTCGGTAAGGTCATGAATCAAGTAATACAGGTTTACTTCCGGATTTTGACAGTTGGCTCATTCTCATTTTAGGAAATATTTAGGTAAATATTCTCGCGTGTGTGCTCATGAATTATATTTGTAGCTATCAATTTCATTATATAATTTAGGTTTCCACAATTTGAATGTGATTTTGTTTGTCAAATTTCTCCCATCTTACTTAATGTCATTTTTTTTTCTCTAAATTTATCTGTTTATTATTTAATATGAAAAAGGCAAAGCCTCAAAGCGAGCTCGATGTACTTTTTACGTGAAATAGTATGAAATAATCGCTCATTTTTATTTCAAATGCAGTAACGAGTGCGTGTGACGTCACACGTACTGTGTTAAATAGGGTATAGATGGAAATTTATTTGCTGTAAAATCATTCAATGAATGCATAAATATATAAGTTATATAATTATTTCAACAGATAAATGCACTATTTCAAAAATAAATCTCATTTTCGTAGCCGCGATCTTATTTTCGCGAAAATAGCTTATTTTTGGTATCCATCTATACCGTGTTAAATATGGCCCCGCCCCTGTCGTGAAATGAATAACGAGTTTTGAAAACGTTTATAAAACTATGTTTATTTTATTTCACTCTATAATTTTTCAAGCGAAATAAAGATTATTTAAAGTGAAATAAATGTAAAACTTAAAACGTTTGCGACATTAAAATAGCGTACTTGATTTGTTTGTTTTGCACGCGTTGTTTGGCGCTACATTGTGACGTCACGTAAACAATACTTTAAACGTCTGTACAGCGTTAACGACTGAATAAAAGATATTGGTGTTCGGATTCATTTTCTTAGTTAGACCATTTTCTTTCATTCTAGATAGTTTTCACAACAAAATTCGACAAACAAATTGTTTTTGTTTATCAGATTTCAAACAAAATGGCGCCTTCGATTTTCATTTTTTATACACAGCTTCCGTTATTCTGGTTCCCTGTCCAATTATAATTCCCATAGACGTGCGCGGGTGACCAGTCTACATGCACATCCGTTTTCAGTCAGAATTCCTCAGTTTTTATCGTTATCTTTAAATTCGAAAGGTTGCGATGTGTCCAATTCGGTACTTTGGACGAA